ATAAAGTCTCTAGGATTGGTTTACGGCTTTATTTGACTATAACACAAGATGCTTGAGATATCAGAAAACTTCAATAACGTGTCTAATTTCTTAATAAGTTCACATGGTTAACCCTCGGAAACGTTTTCATCAAACACTTGTGGTTTAAAAATGACTATTGAACCAGATCAGTAATTTTAAAATTCGTCTCAATTAATCAAATTGCCAGATGTTTTGCCAAACTTGCACAGTATCAGCCTTTTCTCGCTGTTGTACGTATGTCTGCGGATTTACAACGCTAGAAACCAGGTTTCGATACCCGTGGTGGGCAGAACACAGATAACCCATTGTGTAGCTTTGTGCTTAACTACAAACAAGCTGTTGTACGCTGTTTAAAGAAACCAAAACCTACCCATCCTTGAATGTCAGATAGATTCGTTTCCGTCCTTTCCACTTGAAACCAGAGAAGCCCACTCACAATGCCTAGGCCAATAGTCTGTATCCAATTCAGTCTAGATAGCATACGGCTGTGTGCTTCTTGAAAATTTCTTTCAGACAGTACTTTAAGCTGCGTCCAGAAGGATGTGGGCCACTTTTCAAAAGTCCCTGTAAAACTGTCTTCACTGCCACTCACAGAGCTGTAAGCATCTGACCAAGATGGTACATCACAGTCTTCATTGCCCTCAGATGCTGTTAAAATAGATGAGCTTATTATATTTGTTTTTATCTTCTTGCATTCCTCTAGTAATTTCTGTTAAGTCATTTTAGTGAATGTATTTCATATCAAAATTACAAATTACCAGCCCAGGGTCTTCTAAATACTAAAACCATTTTTCCAGAGCAACAAACACACTTTCTTAACGAATTCTGTTTATATGCTTTAACACGGCATTTTTAAAGTGAACCTCTCACCTGCTGAATCATTTGTGGACTGAACTGGTGCAGAGACCAAAGAGTTGAACTCCATTTGAGCTGAGACTTCATTAATTTCTCTAAAAAGATAGATATTTTATTATCCCAAGGCATTCTTGGCATCTTAACACAACAGATGGGTGAAAGGGAATAGAAGTAAATAGCAGACGACATTTTGTGGCTTGTTATTGTTTGTTACAAACAGCTAGTTCGTATCAATAACTAAAGACAGTTCAGTTGTTCTTAGTTGTGTTAAAAAGTAATCTTCTTTGAAACAAGAGCTATTTATTACCGAACCATGCATTTAGTCTTTTATAGTAGTTCTATCTCATAAAAAAGAAAGAGAGTGAAAAACGTGCTTTTTTAAAAGTTAGAATCTCTATCTTTCGTATACAAAATTAGTTTGGAATTTTGCTGTAGATTTATTGAATAAAATGTTATATTAAAGTTTTAAAAAATGCACAACTGACAAAAATAAGGAATTGTTTTAAAAATTATCTTAATAAGTGTACATTATCGAAAACAGATTTCAGAAAAGTAAATAAATATAATTTAAACTAATTTATTTATGAATGACAACAACTGTCACAAGTGAAGTCTATCTGGTTAACAAATATTCACTGAAACTAAATACAAGATTGTGAAGAACAAAAGCCGTGTCTAAAGTAGTAGAACAATGTGTAATTAAAGCAAAATTTCGAAGGAAACCTGTATTTATGCTTTTTTATAAACGCAAACTGTTCTAAACATTATGATAAATCTTGGTTGATTTTGTAATTGTAAGTATTAATAGACTTTTTTTTTTACAAAAGGTATTTCGTGAGATAACAGTACTAGAGTAAGTTTAAAATTTTATATAGGATTTTATATAAAGATTTCTCTATTTACATATCGGTAACACTAACATTAGTTTGTCAGCTTTAAAATATAGCACTGGTGGATTTTATACAGAAACTACAAGGCTCAATATATATAAATTTTCTAAGATATTTTTTCTTCTCTTGAAGAAAAGTCACTTACATGAAGCTCTTGGTTGCTGATATAAATTTTTCCCGAACTTCTGGGTTTTTTTTCACTTGTTCAACTGTAATTAAACAGTGAAAGAAAATGCCATATCCTCCATTTTAGACAAATATCTTACATTTTTAGGTGTTGTAAACTGTAGGTCTAGAATTTGTCCGAAGCAACAGAATACTGTTCATTACTACTTATCAATAATTGTTTTGTTTCTGTTCATTAAAGATAATAGGTCAGACTTAACCCAACACACCTTTCAAGACGTTGCATGATGACAATCATCTCAATTACTAAATATTTAAAGTTATAATTGATCTGTGATTACTGCTACGTAGGTTAGCAGGGTATTTATTAAATATTTAAAGCTAACCTAGGTATTTCTAATCACAGATCAGTTATAACTTTAAATATCTAATAAATACCCTATTATAACTGATCTGATATTAGAAATACCTAGGTTAGTAGGGTATTTATTAGATATTTAAAGTTATAACTGATCTGATATTAGAAATACCTAGGTTAGTAGAGTATTTATTCGCAACATTTTCATCTTAATCCATGTTAGTTAATTTTATATGCTTTAAAAAGGAATGAAAAATACAATGTTTTCGAAACCGTATTGTTATAAAAAAAATACTGCTTTTAACTCTGCAGACAATCTTTGGTTCAAGTACTTTTGAAAAACATTCACTTCCATATCATGAGCTCTAAGGCAAAGGGCACCTGACGAGGAGTGGTAAAGAAAGAACTCTTTTACCTGTTCGCTTCTGGTAAAGGATAGTAAGGAGTCCTTTGTCTTCTCACTCCTCCAGAAGAACGGTAAGTAACTATTTACTTACTTGTTTGGATGAAGAAAAGTATAGAGCTTTTTTTGCCTACTTGTTTTGGATGAAATGTAATATGGAACCTTTTACCTACTTCCTCCTGAAGATGAACGACATAGAACTCTTTACCTGCTCGCTCCAGGTGAGAATGGTAAAACGTACAAGTTAACACATAAGAGTGATATTTTTAACCCATTCACAAGCTCTTGATTGCAAGTATGTTATTCCGTTGACTTAAACACCCTAGACAGATGTTGTAACAGATAGGAACACCAAAGACAGATGCTGTAGCAGACTTAAACACCTTAGACAGTTAATCCACGAGTATGAACAAAACAGTTGCTGTACCAGAAGAAAATACCAAATACAGATGCTGTAGCATACAGAAACACCCAAGACAGTTAATCCACAGATTGAAACACCTAAGACAGTTGATGTAGCAGATTGAAACACCCAATACAGTTGCTGTATCAAACTACATCGATATAATGGGTAAAATATGTCCTATATTTGTTCATGACGAGGAAGAGTCAAACCTTCAAAATAGTAATTGAAGCAACGATTGTTTGAAATCTTACGAAAAATACATTAAAAGCTATTAAAAGTTCAAGTTTTTACAACGAACGTTCTGGAAGTTATATTGCCCTTTAAAAATTTATATAAATGTCTACGCTAAAGTACAGGTTTAGATAAGATGTAGCTAATTTGAGAAATATATCTCAACGGAACGTTGAATCATACTGGAATATAGTGAGTTTTTCAATAATAATGCGTCATATTTCATTTTCTTAATCATTGTATAAGTAAAACATAAAATAATGAACATACTCACTAATAAAGTCAGCAGGATTGTAATGTGCTGCTATTTGTAAGCCAATGTCACTTAAAAACTCTACAATTCTGTGGGTTGCGCCAAAGAACGCGACCTAAAAACGTTAAAATACATGTAAGAAATGACACTGTTTCGTATCTTATAATAGACGACCTCAAAAAATTCCCATCATAATCTCAGTGATTTTTGAATTCCCTCAGCTCGGAATCGAACCTGAAACTTTTCCCACGCCAAAGGGTGCTTTACCAACTGAGTTAGTGATTATAAATCTACTAGTAGTTCCTAGTAAAGCACTTTTCAAAGCACTTGCTGGGTGTGCGAAAGGTTTCGAGTGCGACTCGGAGTCGAATGAATGCAAAAAGAAAAAACAACTTATATTACTACAAAAAATTATTACAAAACTCGTGTTCACTACCTCAATATTTTTGTATGCTTGTTTTCGAATATTTGAGCAAAGCTACTCGTGGGCTATCCACTGTAGCAGTCTTTAATTTTAAATTGATACACTAGAGAGAATGCAGTTTCTTAACAACAGTCACCGCCAAGTTTTGGGCCACTCTAATCTTAGATGTTGTTATCTGTGCAGGAACCATTTCATAGATTTCGTCTATTTTCTTTAAACATCTTATGAAAAAAACCTTCTGTTTCTTTAAGCTGTGTTTTGACCAACTATAACAGCTATAAAGAGGCATTTGATTTTGTTTTCTAGAGATATCTAAGAAGTTTTTATTTTAAAAGACCTCCAGCTGTTCCTGGTTAAACCACTTAGTATCAGTTTACACCTTTAGTTGTTTACATTATTGTTTCATTTCTCAGCATTACACTGTTAACTTTTTTCTAAATCTATTTTATTCTTATGTCGTTACATCCATTAGTGAAATAACTAGCTCGAAGTTTTGTTATCAGCGGGGTTGTTACAATTGAGTATTAGTGACATGTAAACTAACACTCCAGAAGTTGACGTTTGTTTGTTTTTTTAGCGGAAAAACTACATAATGGGCTAGCTGCACTCAATCCACCGATAGGGACCGAACCTCGGATGTTATCGTTGTGAGTCAGTAAACTTACTGCTAGCCTACCGGGATACACACTACAGAAGTAAATACGTCTTTCTAATGGTTTATATACCAGGAAACAATTTAAATACATAAACCATAAACACGGGCTGATAGACAATGTAAAACTATAATATTTTTCTCGAACTGTAACCGGTTTCGTAGCTTCTTCAGAAAGCTTATTGTTCTTGAGTGGTTAAATCTACAAATTCTATTTCAAAACAAATTAAAATTACTCCAATAAAAACATGTAAAGATTTTCAAAAGCACTTAAATGTTCAGTTCATTCAGTGACAAATATAATATGTTTAAGATTTTTTTTGTTTATAAATTGTAAAATAATTTGGTCTATAAGACAACTTTTAGATCTATAGAGAAAATTAAGGCATGGCCTGATGAGTACAACGCTCGACTCGCAATCTTTAGGTTGTAGTTTCGAATCCCCGTCACTGGATTTTCGGTTATTATACGTTGGTAAAAAGAGTAGCCCAAGAGTTAGTTAGTGATGGGTGATGTTGATTTGCTGTTTTCTAGTTCGTCACTGATAATTTAGGGACGGCAAGCGCAGATAGCCCTCGAGTAACTTTGTGCGAAATTGAAAACAAACCAGGTCATGAAATACAAAAACTATGCAGAAGAATATACTTTCACGTAGCAGAAAAACAACAACAACACTTAATTTGCAACATAAATACCTCCAACAAGACAGCATAATTTTAGGACCTAAAAGGGGAAGACCTATTTCAAATGAAGGACTTTTATATCTGAAATTCTAAAGATTTTTATTTATGTTTTAAAATGTACAATTTATGTAAACTTTTATTCTTTTGGAGAAACACTAATATGATACTTGGAATAAATATCCATTGACATCATGTCCGATTATTGTCCCCTCTCTATTTAAACATTTTTTTCTTGTTGTTGTAATTGTTTTCGCGATCTTAAAGAATGTTTCCTAATGTTTCTCCATGTTGGAAACGTTAAGAAAAGAGAAAAAGATTATTTTGAGGAAAAAACATTTTAATGGTCATTCTTCTGCAATTAAAATTTTCAATTGAAATCTTTTAGGGTCGTAGTTTTTAAAGGCACAACACTTATAAAGTTAAAATCATTTGGCGCTTATTTTAAAACCACACGTGTGTTAAAGTAAGCATTCTTTTCTTTGTTTGCGGATATCCGTGCAAAGTTACTCAGTGATTCTCAGTACTAGCCGTCCCTAATTTTGAACTCACAGATTATAGGGAAGGCAGCTAGTCAATTCAAACACCGTAAATTCTTGGGATGCTATTGTCTGACTGAATAATGGGATTAGACCATCACCGTTATAATACACACGCAGCCTCAAAGTGCGAAGTTTAATTTTTGTTATTTCCTGTTTTCTTTTTGGCAATAAGAGGACGTAAGCTATGGATCTGGAGATCCATATTCTGGATTTAACCACTGCCTCGCTAAGCAACATTTCGTTTGAACTACTAAGCATAATGAACTAACTGTGCTGTATCCACTGCAGGGATATAACTCCGAATTGTAGTGTTATAAGCCCTCAAGCTCACCGCGGAGCCACTATAGAGCATATTTTCTCATAAATTATTAGCAGCACAAGAGCTATGCAACATATCTTCTCTGACGTAGTTTTAAAATACATTTCCCAGGCTTGATCATTCAAAAACTATTTTAAAACTTCAGGTAAATGCCACGGCTTAAAATATTATGATTTATTTAGTCTTTGTGATGTAAAAAAGGCAAAAAGAATTCAGTAGTAATAATACAGGATCATCAAGATAATATGTTCAACTTTTATGCAAACTAAGGAAGCACATTATGCTAATATAATAATATGTTGGCAAGCAACGATTTACAAGCATAATGAAGTGATATTTTTTGGGGGAACATACTACATTTTTAGATAGAACATTAAAGATGACAGACCAGTATTCCGTCGAAACATGTAGTATGCCCCCCCCCCCAAATAAATCATTTCATTAGACTTACATAAAATCGTTATTTGCCAACAAATTATTATGCAAAATGCTAGTTAATTGCTGTTCCTGGTACTAGATGGCGCAAGCAATAGAAAATTTATCTTAACTTCTGCAATTAACCACGAAAGATCGAAAGACTAAATACCAGTTTCTTTCTGTTAACGAAAATACTTCATTTTAAAACTACACAAATACTTATAAAATTTAACTAATGTTGAAAAAGAATAATAAATAAAGATAAAATCATACCTGACCATCAGCTAGTAGAAGCAGACGATCAAACATGTAGAAAATCTGGCTGGACGGCTGATGAACCGTAACAACAACTGTTTTACGTTCTTTTTCTGCATAATACTTCAAGGTAGACATAAGACAGAGGGCGGTACCAGAGTCAAGGCCCGAGGTTGGTTCCTATTAGTGGTAATAATTTAACGTGCGTAATCTTGACAAAGTTCAGAAACATTTTATACACTCACAAAAATACCATGTGAATTCTTTGTACACAAATAAATCGTAATGGTCTGAACAAAGTGAATTAGAAACTGGTTTCAGATGAAAAATTTAAATGTAAAATCATGATGATTTAGACAAACGACCAAGCAATGTATTATCGTTTCGCATTTTTATTGAACAAAAACGTGTCTTGAATGAGATTTCATTCAACGTAGAGTTAACCAATGTTTAACACACTGATAAATATCAGTTTATAAAACGTTGGTGATTTTATGTAAGCTTGTTATTTTGTTGTTTTTAGTGCATGGTTACGCAATGGTCTATCTGTAATATGTCCACCGCGAAGGATCGAGCCTCGTATTTTAGCATTGTAAGTTCAAAATCTTATCGCTAACATTTACTCTTCCAAGACACAACTAAAACAACAACGACAGCACGTAGTCGACGTTCGCCTAATCGGTTGTCCTCCGGTGGAACAGCGGTAAGTTTACGGACTTACAACGTTAAAATCCGAGATTCGATTCCTTGCGGTGGACACAGCAGATAGCCTAATATGACTTTGTTCAAAAAAACAAACAAACAATTTGTTTGTTTTTGTTTAAGAGGAAAGTCACATTGGGCTATTTGCTGAGCCCACCGCGGGGAATCGAACTCCTAATTGTCCTGTTTGTGTCGCGAAGTTGTATCTATAAGCAAAAGTTGATATGTCAATTTTAGTCTTGAAATGTTTTAACTTTTCACCCTTTTCTTTAAAGACATCTTTGTGGTGACTTTGTGATGGAATACATTATACAGTTTTAAATCAAGAATTAGGATATTAATTAAAGCAATAAAATCTGCGTACATACAAGTGCACACATATTCATACACGTAGATAATACATTAATGCATAAGGGACATAGAATATTTTTTCCTTTTAATTCAAAATAACGAAAAAGGAAAACCTAAATTACTTTGTCTATAATATAATAATTTTGTGAGTTAGCTGAGAGGCGTTAATGCCATGCATAAGAATGGAATTCAAATTTCCATCGCCATCTTAACGCTGTTTTCCCTCCCCAACCAGTAGCTCAGCGGTTAGCTTTAGGTCTTATAGCGCTAAAATTTAGAGTTCTATCCCGCGGTAGACACAGCACAGATAGCTTGCTGTGTAGCTTTATGCTTGATTATGAAAGAAAACAGTAACCTCTTTACGCCATGCATAAAGAATATCGCTAAAAAAACTGAATGTGAAGTTGTAAGTACACGTGAACTCATTTTATCCACATCCAGTGGTTGATCAGTTAATTTTGATTATAGAGGGCTCACAACTTGAAGTCAAAGGGTCCAACGTCTGTTAAAAATTATCATGGTTTTTCAAGTTTATGTCAGAGAAAAGTTTAGGAAAGGGAGTAAGATGCAAGCATGTCAAAGGCGCGGTAAGAAGATATGCTGGGGAACATACGCCCCCGAAAAATAATTCTGGCTCGAAATGGTACTAATTATGAGCTTGAAAAATCAGTGTTGTGGAAGCTGATACACAGTTTAACTCAGGGATTCTCAACTTTTCCTCCATCATTAACCCCCTCGGCTTGATGTATTTCTCCATTTACCCCCTTATTTCCATACAAAAAATTCATAGTTATCATAAAGGGACAGAAAAACAAGAAGGTAAAAAAAAAAAAATAATTATTCAGGTTTTGCACAAAAATAGCACACACACACACACGCATTCTTAGCATTCTCTCTCTCACACGCACACACACACATTTTACAAAATGAAATTTAATTGAATTATTATTCAATCATCAGGTACATCAATTATATACCCCCTGCCATGTAATGTTTTATCCCCAAGGGGTAAATTTACCCCTGGTTGAGAATCACTGGTTTAACTAGACTTAATTGATTACTGGTCCATTCGGGTCGCGCTAGAAACCGGTTGACTTGGCTCAGAAAAATTCACAGGCTCGTATGACATCGTTAAAGGCCACTATCATGACATCTATAAATTAATATTAATTTGCTGTTATTTTTCTTTAAAACGTTTGCTATTCATACATAATTGATACTGAAATGATAATAAAGATGGGTATTAAAACTTTACTATAAAGCACACCTTGATTCTGTTCATTTCCGCAAGACGCGTTGAATACATTGAAATGGGTCATACCGACATACTTGTAAAACTCATAACATTGTCTCATGTACCGTAGTTGAGCTTATTTACTCCCGTCAACCGCATTTTAGGCTCCAACAAATCTCAAGTGTAAAATCATATAATCAATTTCATGCTGAAAACAGTATTGGGAAAAGTTTAGGGGTGGCTTGTGCCCGTAGAGGGCACTGAAATCGGTTGACAGATTTACAGCTTACCAGGGAAGGCCATTGCCACATATAATAAGACATTAATTAAACATTCACGATGAAAGTTGAAATTATCATCGCGCCCCCTTACACATTACGTCACCTCCATACGCAATGACAGAAAAATATTTTACGTTCGATAGATTTTCCTGTTTGTCTGTTTTAATACAGATTACATTACGTGCCGACTCTAAAATTAATATTTTGAGCCCACGGTGAAATATAAAGTATTTAATTATTTAAAAATGATATTTCAACGTTATATGTGAGTATATTTATTCGTTTTGTCAGGAAGGATAAAGATATTCCTCCCACCGAGTTTACTTCGGAGAGGGAGGGGGCAGCTGGGAATACTGATGATGACATTTAAAAGGCCCCCCACTGGCACAGCGGTATGTCTGAGGGACTTACAGCGCTAGAAACCGGGTTTCGATACCCGTGGTGAGCAGAGCACAGATAGCCCATTGTGTAGCTTTTGCTTAACTTCAAACAAGCAATAAACCCACCAAATTGAAGAACATTCAAAAACAAAAGTGGGTTCCATAGAGAGAGCATGGTGAGACATGCCATAGTAATCGGTTTTGTGTTTAGTACAAAACTACTCTGTGGACTGTTTGCTCTGTTGCCCAACATGTGCACTGAAACTCGATTTTTAGTGTTAAAAGCCTTCGAGCTTACTGCTGATACTCTGGAGGGGGTGGGAGGGGTTAAGGAACTGTGACTGATCTTCATATAAATAGTTAGAACTATGTGAAAAAGACAGGGCATAGTTATGCAGCACCTACACAAAGTCATTTCACTATTGTGCTTTTCAAATATTCTACTTTTTCATTTCAAATCTGAAGAAAATAAGGATGGCCCTTATCTTCATAACAATACTCATATACTTATTATTTTGTTTTAGTTATTGTATTTTATCTATACTAATCTATTATAAGATATATAATTTTGTGATACAAGTAAGTCAAAAATCAACGTTATATTACTTTTGGTTACCGTTATGTTTAACAATGAACTCACAAAATAAGATGTAACTTTACGGGAAGACCTAAATTCGAAAAAGTTAACGTAAAAAAAGGAGAATCTTAAAAGAAGCGTTTCAAATAGAAGAAGGAAAAGCAAAAACAAAATAGTATAGCCCATAACACCTAGCATCGAATGACAACTTACGTCCAGTAACATGGTAGTAGGGTTTGTGAGTAATTCACAAGCAATGCTAGCCCTTTTCTTCTCTCCTCCTGACAGCCCTCGTTTCAGCCCGTCTCCAATTACTGAAATTGAACATTTGAGTGTTATTGATGTAACCCAAGACGTCAATGCTAAAACAAAAGAACATATAACAGAGACAGTGCGAATAGCTTAATATTTCCGATGTTTTGTTCATTCTAAAAGATCTCTGTTGCGTCAATAACTTTGAGGTTTGAAGTCAATAAAATGTGTTTGGTAAATTACAATTACAAAACAAAAATTATTGTTCTCACAATTAAAGCTAGGTAATTTTACTTGGACTTCGGTGAAATTTCAAGTAAAAGAAAATAGCTAATACTGAGTTATTTGCTTTTGTTATTAAACAGACTCACGAAATGTCCACAGTAATCAGTTGTTTTTAGTGTGTATGTGTCAAAAAATAATCTTTGCATTCCTTTACTAGAAAAAACTTTCTAAGTCCTGAATAATTCTGTTGCTGAAAACTACGAAATAGGCTATGAGAAAACGCTGACTCTTTAGTTATGAAATAGATATTCGTCATGCTACATGTATAGTCGGTAATTGAGTGTTAGCTAATGATAACTGAGGACAGCAATAAAAAATAGCCCAGCTCTATACTGTATTATCAACTAAATTTTTTTGTTTCGTGTAACTGATAAGGCAGTCATTTGCTTAAGGTGTGGTATATTAGTACTTGCCAAAACCTTGAATCCGCGTAGATTACTTACTCCCCACTAATTATGTACCTCACGTAAGTACATCATGTTAAGTTCATCTGCAGAATAATTATCATAAAACGTGTTCAGATAAAGCAATTTACCACCCAGAACTTCACCCTTGGATTTTCATGGAATTTTAGAAGGTTCTGGAAATAGCAGGATTTATTTAGCATATTCATTAACTGTGGGCAACAAAATATATCCCTATATTATCAGTAATTATGGTTCTAATACGAAAATGTAGAATAATCAGCTAAAATCTTATAGACATTCTTGAAATATCCTGCAGGTTTCAGGCGATTTCATAGTTTCACTATACTTTTAATATAATGTTAACGTTTCCTCAAGATTTAACTACATTAATTAACGTAGTATGACTAGTTAAACTTAGTTATTGGTTCTTTACTCCAATTAACTTGATTTCATGAATTGATTCTTAGTCCTCGTCTCCAAAGTTTTGATTAATTCAGTCTCGTTTACTGCTTCTCCAAGTTTTAACTACACAATTTAACATATTTGTCTAGTTTAATCTCGGCCACTACTGTCTCTCCAAGTTTTAACTACACTATAATAAGTCTATTTATTAACTACCACGTTTTTTTTTCTAGTAATTACTAACTATTTCTGTCTTTACTTCGGCTGTTAATCTGGTGCCGTATTCAGAGGAATGATAGACAAGGAAGGTGAGAGAGAAAACCACTGAATATATATATATATATATATGTTTGTGTGTGTGTGTATATATATATATATATATAATTTCTATGATTAGAAAAAATGTAAAGGTTTACTTAAGAGTTCACGGGGGGTGAGAAAGATGTCTTGTTAGATTGGCTTCGTTTTCGAGAAATGAAAACATTTATATTTCTTAAGCTCGCAAAATAAAAATGGACAGATAGAAATACCAACAAACACGTAAAACGTTAACAGACAGACAGACATATATTATTTTATCTTCGTCTGATCCATGGGCTTCATTGACGGTAAAGTTTACTGAGTGAAATGTAAGTAAAAAAGGGTAAGGTTTTTTACCTAGAATATCACAGTAGATGTAGTGACCTACATCGATAGACAGCAGAAAAATAGACACTTACTGGTATTCAAACATTTCCTCAGATCCAGAACGTCGATGATATGTTCCACGTGCGCCATCTTTTCATGATATGGCATGGTGTCAGGTAGCCGTAATAATGCTGAGTGCTGGGGGAGAAATATTTCCAGCCAGTCTAAAGGACCAAGTCTAAAACGCGTTGTTCATGAGTTGCTCTTTTCTTTTTAACTCAGATATAGTTCTTAACGTAAAAGGAAAAATAACTTCTATCTAGCTAGCTATATTAGAAACACGAATTACAGAACGCTGAAAAGAAAACACACTCATCATTTTTAATTACAAAATAATTGCTGCTTTCAGTCACGAAATCCTAGCATTACTTTCCGTTACGGAATGTTAAGAAGTAGAGTTAACTTACATTACGGAATTTTAAGGAATATCTAGCATTACTTTGAATTAAGAAGTGATTGGAAAAGGCGTTATTTTGGATATAAAATATGTTATTTTTAAGGAACGATATGTAAAAGAATTATTTCAAATTAAGACAAGCTAGGAAGAAATTCTATTTTCACTTAAGGAATTTTAAAGAAGTTTACTTTTTGTCAGTAGTTTTAATAATTATTTATAGCTATACGTTGCTGAGGAAGAGGTTATTTTGAGTAATAAAATTGAGTTGTTTATGGTTATTTTCAAGAAGTTTACTTTTTGTCAGTAGTTTTAATAATTATTTATAGCTATACGTTGTTGAGGAAGAGGTTATTTTGAGTAATAAAATTGAGTTGTTTATGGTTATTCTTAATTGCAAAATTGTGAGTCATGAAAGTAGAATCATGACTCTGTAAGTGCTCACATAAAATACTAGTCTATTACTCTTATAATTAAAATATATGAATAGCACTGGTTTAAATGTTGTTGTTTTTATTTTCTGTTTCGGATATTCGCACATAACTATACATGGGTTATATGCGCTAATTGTTCCTAATTTGGACTACTCTTGGGCTACTGTAATCGAACAGTGATATTTGACCGTCACTTTTATAATACATCCATGGCCCGAAACTTGAGAACGCAATATCTTGAGGCAATTGAAGTGTGCCATAATTCCTCGGATTTACAATCCAGCACGCTAACCATTGAACTACGTCTGGCACATTTTAAAACAGAAATTTACAATCCAGCACGCTAACCATTGAACTACGTTTGGCACATTTTAAAACAGAAATTTACAATCCAGCACGCTAACCATTGAACTACGTTTGGTACATTTTAAAACAGAAATTTACAATCCAGCACGCTAACCATTGAACTACGTCTGGCACATTTTAAAACAGAAATTCATATGAAAGAAAATGTGGTCACACACTTAACAATTAACCAACCCTAAAAACTACACTTAGACAAGCGTTATTAGTAACCGAAAACAAAAGGCTAGTAATTTTTTTCTGGTTGCTTGTTATTGAGCGTAAAGCTATACAATGGGCTATTTTATCTCTTCCCACCTCGAAACCCGAATTTTAGCGTTGTAAGTTGTGATACTTACTGCTGAGCCACCGGGGGGGGGGCAGTAAATATTTTTTGCCTCCCAGTGGCTCCATGGTAAGACTGAAGGCTAATAACACTAAAAACCGTGTTTTGATACCCATGGTGGACAGAACACAGATAGCCCACTGTGTAGATTTGCGCTTGACAACAACAACACAACAATTTTGTTTTTCTGTTTAAATTGAATTTCAGAAACAGGACTGAATTTGAACTCATAACAGTATAAATGTTTTATAATAATACTCAGTTTTTATCTGTCCTGAAATTGAGCACGCACCTTATTATCTAACCGCACATGTTTCAACATATGTTTGTTTGTTTGTTTTAAATTTCGTGCAAAGCTACACGAGGGCTATCTGCGCTAGCCGTCCCTAATTTAGCAGTGTAAGACTAGAGGGAAGGCAGCTAGTCATCACCACCCACCGCCAACTCTTGGGCTACTCTTTTACCAACGAATAGTGGGATTGACCGTCACATTATAACGCTCCTTCACGGCTGAAAGGGGTATGCGAAGGGGGGATGGTGGGATGGGGATGCGAACCCGCGACCCGCAGATTGCGAGTCGAGCGTCCTAACCACCTGGCCATGCCGGGCCATTCAACAGATGTAAACCAAAGGCGGATGGATGTAAATATACTTTATTAGACATTTTGTACAACCTTATATCAAGGGCTTATCAAAGTTCTTAAAAATGTCTAACGTTAGGTCGTAGAATAACATTATTAGCTTATTTACTGATAGTATTAAGTATGTTAAAAGTTAGCCCTAACTAAGCTACAGCAAAAAATATATACAGAAGTTACAGTGTTAATTTATCTCTTTATCGAATATACGTCGTAATTAATAAAGACTTAACTAATGTTAGGCCTAAGACAAGTGGACCTATGGATTTCGGACTCTGTGATTAGAATTCTTTTGTATTATCCTATAAATCCTGTATTTAAATAAGTACTGTTGCAATAAAGATACTAATTTGACGGCAGATGTTTTGCAGGTCTCTGCTAGTTCAAAAAAAAAAAAAGAGTTACAAAATATGATACTGTCCTCTGCAAATGTGTCTGTTGTTCCACTTATATGTAACATATATTTGCTACTGTTGTATGTATATCTTCTAAACATATTTTGCGACACTTTTTCTAATATTTTTACTTAACAGCATACAGAAAAGTGAAGAAGTTTTTGTAATGCTATATTTTATCGTGTGTGTGTGTGTGTGTTTAAATTTAAACCACAAGTACAAAAGTGTGACCTCTGAAACTCGTAGACGTTCCGATGTTATGCAAGAGAGCTGGTGCTTGTCTAACAAAGAAAGTTCTGTGAAAAGCATACCTTAGCAGAGCAACAACTTTACGATGTTATTACGAAGTTGAAAATTGCTTCTTCAAGGTAAACCCGTTGCACAACCTACCGCCGAACGTTAAACGCTCTCTGGCTGTTCACGATGTTTCGTCATGCTTTAGTGAAGCCTTGTAACAAAAAATTTCAAAGTCTGTACTCACCGCTAGGTGATATTAGTTGGTCTACACTCGAGACATTATTCGATGTGGTTTTGTGCGTATGTATTTGTCAAAAAACGCTGCATGTACAATAACGTTGTAATCTCATTTCGCGCGCGCGCACACACACACAAGAGGATAGGATAAGAATATCCGAAATAAAATCGATTGGCCAGCCTATAAAGTGTTACTTAAACGCCCCTTACGATAGCAGCTACTGCAAAATAATAATTCAAATTAAATATATAAGAAATACCTAATCATCAAAGATTCAGTATCACTTTCTGCACAGCCTTCGAATTGATGAGTTAAGCCTAATTTCATGGGAAATGCAAATTACTTTTTATTTTCCACTGGCAATTTCACAAAACATGTCTACATACTATCCATATATTAAATGATACCATTTTTGTTCGAGATTCACCAATGACACGTATCTTTTTTTTCCTTCTTTTTCCTTTTTTTTTGAAACGATTGGTGCAACTAAAATGAGGTGTTTTTAATGAGCAGTTAACAACGCAAGAGTTTTAAAATGCTCATTAAGTGCTACTGTATCTAGAAGATCGAAACGTTGCTTTTAAAGCGGTAAAAGATTATCGCCAATAATGCAAAAAAAAAGTAAGTGGTTGACTTCAATTTAAAACGTTCTTATAATATTATTCATATTTTTTGTTGGACTTGTAATCAGACCTCAGTTGTTGTTTTTTTAACTGCTGCATAATTTATATCAACAGGTACTTTTTTACGCCACCTGGCGATACTCTGGTATTTAAGTCTTCGTGATCTATTTAACACGTATAAGATATATTGGTAATCGTTTTTATTCCCATGCATTTTTATGAAGAAATCAAGAAAGTTAACAAACAATTGGTTTTGTCTGTAAATATATATATATATATATGTATTATTAAAAAGTTAAATTTCTGTCAAGGACTTCAATTTTACACAAACAACCCAACTTAACGCTAACAGGCTGATGAATTTAGGTTTAAACCTTACAAATAGAGCTAACGATAGGTGAACATTTCACCACAACAGCAGAAAATACAGCAAAAATAAAGCACCTCCCAAAGGGGCTCGACGGTAAGTATGAGGGCTTCTAACGCCAAAATCCAACGTTCGATCCTTTTGGTGAGAACAGGGCAAGTAAGCCCATTGTTCAGTTTTGCGTTAAGCGACTAATAATAGACATTTGAAAAGATAGGTTTGAACACAGTAAACATGTCATCTTAATACCCTTTCCACCTGAAATCAGAGCATACGCTTTGTTTTAACGTAACCGCAGACTTACGACGCTAAAATCCGAGGTTCGATTTCCCCGCGGCGGACAGAGCGCAGATAGCCCATTGTTCAGTTTGCGTTAAGCGACTAATAATAGACATTTGAAAAGATAGGTTTGAACACAGTAAACATGTCATCTTAATACCCTTTCCACCTGAAATCAGAGCATACGCTTTGTGTTAACGTAACTGCAGACTTACGACGCTAAAATCCGAGGTTCGATTTCCCCGCGGCGGACAGAGCGCAGATAGCCCATTGTGTCGCTTTGCGCTGAAAAATTAATAATTTAACGTAAACGTTATATATGTGCATATATATATATACATATTATATACAAGGATTTCAATATCCACTGAAGACCAAACACATCGCCTTGAAATGTCTAGGTTCTACACCTTGCATCAAATGAATATGCCACGTAATATTATTCGTTTCTTCATTTCTCTCATGGAGAAAAGAGAGACAGAGAAACCTGTTTACGAAAGAAGCTTCTGGCTAGCCTTGCCGCTGTGAGTACCCCCCACTTGCGGTATTCCCGTAGGGTGTATCCGCCGTCACGTACTGCTGAGCGTCCAGGCTAACGGCAGGCTTCCAAAACATTGACCTCCTGCGATAATGACCCAAAAAAGAATTTAGACAGCACGTGGAGAAAGCCCGAGGACAAGTTATATAGAATCGTTTGATAAAAATAGGCTACTCCTAGTCCTGTTTTACAAAGGGTTATTGAATGGTCACTTTCTCTCACTGAATACTCATAACAGTCATGTCTTTCAAAATGAATATCTTTTTATAAAGTATTTCAACCTAAGCGAACATGGAAAAACTATTTTCAACGTTGTTTCGAAAGTGGCTATTGATACTTATCGATTTGTAGAAGGCAAACATGTAAAGATGAAACTGCATGAAAAAACATTTCAAACTAGTTTGAACTAAAATAAAACTAGAATTTCAGCATTTGTTGTTGTTGTCAAGAAAAGTTCCACCCGTCACACAATTCATTAAATAGAAACAAAAGTATTATCTTTGCCGCTTTGTCTCTTTTAGTTTTGGATTATTGACACTGTATTCGTACAAAACTGGATAACTGAAGCTATTAACAGTATAAAAATGTCATTAAATTTAGAGAAAAACAGCAACAAATCGTGTTATCTAGGTGCGTCTGAGACGTGTTTAATGCTGTTTTGCCAATCATTCACATTCCAGCGGCAGTTTCTGGGCTAAGTTTAAGGCAGCCCCTCAGCCTTCTTCATCCCTGGTGACTCGCCTATTTACTTGAACACTGACTTAAAGAAGGTTTGATATTCAAATATTTATAACTGCCTCTGATATTTAAGGCTATTAAACCTGGAACCCTGTAGATAGCAATATATGATACGATCTGGTGTTAGACTGTTCAAAATTTCAAGCGCAGTAAGCCTACCACATCGACTGATGCAAAATATGTGCTGCTATGACAGTTCTGCGGTAAGCTGTCATTTTATATCCGTAGAACAGTCCCGATAAGTTCTCTTTCTAGAAACGTAAGGAACTGTTTATCTGTCTTAACCATGGCATCAAGAAGGCAAGACTTCAAAAATAAAAATATCAGGTGATGAACCTCCGAAGCTGGAGGAGATGTCAACATATTAAAATATAAATAAATAAAGTCGTACATAACGGAAGCCTATCAGTCAACCCTAGTATTCCAGGTATATCCCTTTCGTCTGTTTTTATTTTTATGTATTCATAAATTAATTTCCAAAATGCTTATCTCTAGAGTGATGGTTCTGACTACGGTTCGAACACCCACCGGGACCACCAGAAGCTAAATTCAACCTAGGATGGTAACAACAGTAACAACAAGTTTTCAACAGCTTCACAAATTTCATGGGACATACTTGGAGCAACAAAGTGGTTCAGGTATCCTGAATTGTACGGCGGAAAATCTTCACCACTGAACAAAACAAGATACTCCACGTATCACTTAATGTATACCTTTTGTGTTTTAACACATCGTTGTTGTTGTTCTGTTCTTGTTTTGAGTCCGAGGATATTAGATTAGAAGTAGAAATAACCCAGGCAACTCTATAGTGGTTATATTTGAAATACCTCTGTTGATCATAAAGCAGGAGCAAGAATGTTTGTTTTCACACCACCTTATACTGATATCAAAAATGTCTACGCATTTCAAAACTTAATCTCAGCGTTTACATGACAAATATTTATATTGGTGTGTTAATTATTACTTTTTCTCGCCTCGGATTCAAACCCGAGACTTCTTGCACATCAAGTGAATGCTCTACCAACTGAACTTTGCTAGTAAAGTACTTATTAATAACTACACTGGGACACAGTTCGCTTACGAAGGAATGGAAGACATCTCAAATGTTCCATATTAGTTTGAACAACTGTGAACTGCTGATATTGTCTAGCACAGTAGACGTTACGGGTTTCACTATCGTGTCTAAACCGACACGATGAAAAAAAACAACAAATTCTGAGAAAAATGCTTTGTCAACAACTAGCTGCAACAGACAAGGGATGTAAAGTGTTTTTCACGTTTTTGGAAACGCTATGACGGGCCTCAAGAAACTGTGATATTTCTAGCTTATTAGTAGGCTTTATTAGTTTTGGTGGCCTAAGAAACTTGTGTGTTTTGCAAACTCAAGACATAGCCAGATGGCAAACCGTGATTCCTAGTCACTGAACGTACCTTAAACTTCTACTTGTAAGCTATAATACCCAATATTATCTACCATTAAAACTTGGCGAAGTGTCAGATTGGCGAAGAAAGCATCCTCTTGAAGAACGTAGCAAATATTTCTTTTCTGTCTCTTGCTGAGAGGTGCTCCGTTTACAGTAATCAAACCGGAGTCGATCTTCACTCGACCGCTTAACGCGTTCAGTAGTGTTGTTTTACCCGAACCTAAGAATCATGAAGAGTAATTAAAAAATAACACGAGTCTTCGAACATTTCTTATGTCACGTGGTATGAATCGCAAATTAAAATAACATTGTTTGTCAACGTGATTTAAAAATAAAATAAAATACAATGTTTATAAAAATACATAATACAATTACTTGTTTAATGCTACAAGATAATAAAATGATCAGCTAAATAGTCATGTACATAGATCATAATAAAACTTATTTTTCTTCAATGTCACAGAATAGTAAAATAACCAGCCAAACATTTGTTTACATGGACAATAATACCATCACTTTTTGTTTAACGTCACAGAATAATAAACTTACTAGCCAAACATTCGTGTATGCACAGACCATAATAAGATTACTTTTTGTCTAATGTCGGATAACGATAACATTTACTAGCCATACATTCATGTACATAGACAATAATAAAATTATTTTATTTATTGTAACAGAAAAGCGAAATGTTTAGCCAAAAAATTCGTTTTAGTAAAAGACAAAGTCGCTATCAATTTTTAAATCTAACTGTTCTGATGTATATAAATCCAAACTTCTCGACTAAGAACACTGAATTCCGAACGTCCATTATATCTTTTGTTTTATTTTTCGTACAACTTTATTTCTGAAAACAATTACTTGTGTCATTACGAGACATTTGTATGATAATGCTAGGATTAGTTATAACACCATATTTCAACAGTAGTTTGTATTTACACCAGTACTTTATCAGATTATTCATAAAGAGTACTACATCACTACTAATTTCACCGAAAGGGGCCGGAGGCCGCCTGGAAAGGGTCACCTGTTTTAACCACTTGCACCACTATACAGTA